AAAATGAAACTAGCTTGCAGTTTCAGACATGGTGCCCAGAAGATTTTCATTGGCTGTTTATCTGATTGCGTCTGTTTAAAGCTTATTCAAGATCCAGCTCAGCTAATTTGGTGCCATTTTACAGAACTGTTCATGTAAAACCAAAAAGGGTTCATCAGTAGAAATGAGGAGTTGTCCTGATCTAATAATATCCTGGTTGTAATTTAATCAATCCATCCATTTTTCTCCACTCATCCGGGGTTGGGTTGTGGGGACAGAGAGGCCCAGACTTCCCACTCCCCAGCCACTTAGGCCACCTCCTCCGGGGGAATCACAAGGCGTTCCCTGGCCACCCGAGAGGCACAGTCCCTCCAGCATGTCCGGGGTCGTCCTTTAGGTCTTCGCCCAGTTGGACGTGCCCCAGAAAACCTCACCAGGAGGTGTCCAGGAGGCATCCTAACTAGATACCCGAGCAACCTCAACTGGAACCTCTCAATGTGGAGGAGCAGCGGGTCTACTCCGAGCCCCTCCTGAATGACCGAGCTTCTCCCCCTATCTCTAAGGGAGAGCCCACTGTGGAGAAAACTCATTTTGGCCGCTTGTATCCACAAATTTTTTTTTTGTCACTACTCAAAGCTCATGACCATAGATAAAGGTAAGGACGTAGCACAGCCCATAAATTGAGATCTTCGCCTTCTGGCTCACCTCTCTCTTCACCACAACAAAGCGGTACAACACCTGCAGCGGATGCAGCACCGATCTGCCCATCGATCTTGTGCTCCATCTTTCCCTCACTGAAAAACAAGACCCCAAGATCCTCCTCCACTTGAGGCAGGATAGACTGAGATATGTCTGCTTTGTGATTAAATAATCTTCCTGTTTCATTTATAAACCCTAAATATAAAAAAAAAGTGTATTTAGTGTCAAACACAGGGCAGTTCCTCACTTTTCGAAAGCAAAGCAGTAGCTAAGTGTTGCGCTTCCTGTACATCCAGGTGTTTTGTCAAGCTGGAATTTATAAATATTTCTTCTGAAATGACCAATAAATAAAAGGTGGAATAAAGTTTAACATAAATGTTTGCATACACCGCTGCAACAGGAGGTTGAAGCTGTTTTAAGATGGCAGCTAAACATTTATATCTTAGATGCAGTGGAACTAAAATAGTCTGTATTTGATATAGCGCCTTCTAGAGTCCTGGAACCCCCCAAGGCGTTTTACAACACAATCAGTCATTCACCCATTCAAACACCCATTCACACACTGGTGGGGATGAGCTACAATGTAGCCCCAGCTGCCCTGGGGCGCACTGACAGAGGCGAGGCTGCCGAGCACTGGCGTCACCGGTCCCTCCGACCACCACCAGCAGGCAACGTGAGTTAAGTGTCTTTCCCAAGGACACAACGACAGCGACAGACTGAGCGGGGCTCGAACCTGCAACCTTCCTATTATGGGGCGAGCACTTAACTCCTGTGCCACCGTCGCCCCGTTAGCTACCTAACTAACTAGCCGTTAGCACATCAGTCCTGTAGGATGTACACTTTATTTCACCAAACAGAGTTTTTTCAGGAAGAAACGAACTTCACAAGGTCTAAACTATTGCTTTAAAAAGTCCCTGGTTTGAGGGCCTTGATGAGAAAATAATAACAGAAGAAAACGTTAGTCCTGTGATGAATCCCAGGATGTCTTTCTGCTTGCAGTGTGTGTGTAACAGCTGTGGAGCCACATCAGACCCCCTGCCCTTCATTCAGATGGTTCATTACATCTCCACCACGTCCCTCTGGTAAGACCAAACATGCAGATACACACACACACTCACACACATGCGCACAACACAGTAAATCTGCTGGCAAGCTGCTAGGAAATGACAGTAGAAGAGGCATGTTCTTCACTTCCTCTGCACGGGTCTGTGAGCAGGAAAATGTAAACACATACATCATGTCCACACATGTGGACGTTCATGCATATGCAGGAGCAGGTGGTCTTGTGCATAGTGTCTCCTGTATCTAAATGAAGATGGCAGCAAACACAGGTAAGTGCGCACACGGGGAAGTTTGTTGTGTTAAAATCTCACACACCACTTCAAGTTAATGAAATAAGGAAGGGGGGAGGTAATCAATCAGGCGTTTGATTCAGTAGACTTAGGGGGCAACAAAAATCTATAAGTTTAACAGCAGGGCGGAACGAGCAGATGAGAGCGAGATAAGAGGGTGAATCACTTTGTTTATCTTTAGTAAATTAAATGTAAAGAACACACGAGTTAAAGTATTTGTGGAGCAATGAGGGGCTGCCACTCCGTGTGTGAGCGCGTTAGCCCTGAGAAGCTACGTCTAACCTCGCTGAGGCTTGTTGTTTACAGTCTAGAAAGAACAAAAATGCAAAAGTCAACACACAGCAAGTAAGATAATCCAAGGGCGACAAAAGAAAAAAGTAAAAATGTCTGGTTGAAGCACAGCTCATATTCAAGTAAGCTGAAATATGAGTGTTTTCCTGACTGCTGTGCTTTTGCTGCCTTCTTAAAATCAAGTGGACGCAGAGAAGGGATTCATGTCCGGGCAGACTGAGGAGGAAAGCAGCATTTTAACATGGAAACAGATTCCCTAAACACAAAAGCCCCTGTGAGGTCCCAAGCCTGAGGGGGATTGGGTCGTTTAGTATTCACAGAAAACTATAATGTGTATTAGACCCCGTCATTCAGAGGGCAGCTGTTTATAAGGCATACATGCAGATTGCTATTAAAGTGTTTTTGCCTTAAGGAAATAGTGTATTTGTCCCAGGAGTAAAGCTTTTTTTTTCTTTTGCAGTTACAATCATTTAAAGTTTACTTACCATGATGTTGATTTAGCTTTTCTCTTAACAAATTGAAACGTTAAATCAGATTGAAAATTGAATCACATGAGCCTGAAAAGATTTAGGTATTTCAGTAATTTCTATTATTATTTCTGTTTTGTTCTTCAATGTTTCTGATTTATTGGATTATAGGGATGCAAAAAAATATCAATACAATGAAATATTGGAATATTTCATCTTATGATACTGAATTGATATTTAAAATCACGGAAACATTTACCCTTGCTTCTTTTGTGTGGTGCAATTCAACCTCCGACAGCGAGGTGGCAGCAGTTTTTACTGCCTTCGTTTTGATAGAACGAGATATCACAATAACAATGAATGTGTTTTTGAAGTGTCTGGTTAAGAGTTTTCCAACTAAATTCAGTCTTAAGGATTGCAAATATCACCTGGTTTTTAGCATGGTATCATGTCACATCATCTTCCCTGTAGTGTCCTTTCATCTAATAAACCTCCACCTCCGACGAGCTCACCCACCTTCCTTCAGGCAGAACATTGAGCAGTCTCTAGGAACAGCTTCTTCTTCGCGGCTGTGATGTGCATGAACTTTGACCTTTCAGTTCTAATGGAAGAAAAACACAGTTTTATTTATTTTAGAACTCATTTCTCCCATTGTCTCTTACAATGACAACATAAATGAGTCTGAAATGTATTAAAATACCTGTCTAAGGATTCGCGTGTGTGTGTGTGTGTGTGTGCGTGCGTGCGTGCGTGTGTGTGTGTGTGTGTGTGTTGCAGTAACCAGGCAGTGAGGATGCTGGAGTGCAGAGAGAAACCCACACCGGACATGTTTGGGGAGCTGCTTCGCAACGCCAGCAACATGGGAGACCTCCGCAACTGTCCTGTGAGAGCACACACACACACACACACACACACACACACACACACACACACACACACACACACACACACACACACACACTGATCACCTTTAAAAGTTACTGAAACTAAATGAGCAGCTGATCATGTAACACACAGCTGCCAAAAGAAAAGAAGATAAAACATAAATTATGAAGCTACCCCCAAGTCTTTTCATGTCCACTTCATGTTCATGATTCACCTTTTAGAACAATTAAAGAAAGACAAAATATACGTTTTAGGGCAGCATCTTAAACTTATAGTGTCTACTCTGTCTTTTCTGGATCCTGTTTTTTCATACTTAAATTCAAGAGTACCGTCCAAAAACATAATACATTTACTGTAAAACTAAATGATCTGCTTTGGTTCTAACAGGTGCATAGAGTTACATTTGTATAAAAACCACCATGAGCACAGCCACAGACTGAACAGGCTAAGGTTAGGTGATTGGTTGGATTCTGATCATGTAACTCAGGGAGATTTCAGTAAATACATTTAAATCAGAACATATATTGGTGATCTTCAGTTGTTTGTTTTTTTCTGCCATTAGACTACCCACCATGTTTGATCAGCTCAGTTATCCTGAAGATGTTTTATTTCTGTTACATTAGATCTGATGACCCACAGGTGGATTGCTGATAAAACATCATCCTGTCAAAAGCTCCAGCAGTCACTTCAGTTCCCTAAATTCTAGCTTCTCTACTGCCTCCTAATTTCTCATCATACTGAAATGTGTGAGCGTGTATGTGTGTGTGTGTGTGTGTGTGTGTGTGTGTGTGTGTGTGTGTGTGTGTGTGTGTGTGTGTGTGTGTGTGTGTGTGTGTGTGTGTGTGTGTGTGTGTGTGTGTGTTTGCTTGTTAGGACAATAACTGATAAATTGCTGGATGGCTTTTAAAGAAATTTCTTAGATGAACATCTACTGTTGATTAACATTGGGAGTAAAGGGACCCTTTGTTTATTAATGCTTGATGATGCACTAAGTAATGTTACTAAAGAGACCCTTATTGTAAAGTGTTACTGCCTTATTAAAGATGGCTACCGCAGCTAACTGATAGTAAACACACAAATTGTTATAAAAAAGTATGTTTTCCAGACACAGAGCTACTGTACACATTAATCTGGTAGCAGCTGAGTCACCCCCAACAAGACTGACTACATAGATTAAGTTGAATGTAAATGGCCTGTATTTGCATAGTGCCCTCTTAGGGTTCTAACACCCCCCAAGGCACTTTACAGCACATCAGTCATTCACCAGTGGTGATGAGCTACAATGTAGCCACAGCTGCCATGAAGCGCACTGACAGAAGTGAGGCTACCAAGCACAAGTGCCACCGGTCCCTCTGACCACCATGTGACCACGTGTTTTCAAGTTTTAATCAAAGCTGCAGTTTCACCATTTCTGTGTCTAACTTTTTGTCTGACAGATTAAGAACACATTTTAATCCCTGTGGCCTATTTTAGTAAAGCATGCACTCAAACACTCTAAAGAAATAGAGAAAAAACAAGAAATATAATACAATACATATAAATTAAAAAGTTAAACATTTTTATCTTACAGTATTAATACTTAATATAGACATCATTATCATAGAATTAGTATAATAATAATATTAATAATAATTAATAACAATAATAATAATAATAATAATAATAATAATTATTATTATTATTATTATTATTATTATTATTATTATTATTATTATAACCTTTATTACACAAAATAGTGAAAACATGCAATGAATCATTTTCATTTCTTTTGTTGGCATGAACAAAAAATATATAAGTATCTTTGTTTAGACCCCTGCAGTAAAGGCAGAAGACTAATGTCCATTCCGTTAAGGAATGCTAGGCTTCTATTTTCCCAAATGGGACACAGAAGTTATGGTCCAAAGCAATTACAGCAAGGGAAAAAGTTCCAAAAGTATTTAGGTACTGAAGGAAGGGAAGTAATAATTGTTCTGTTCTGCAGAAGGCTTTGTTGTGTTTCCACAAGGGAAAAGGATTTCTGTTAAAAAGAAACTGTTTGTTTCCCCCACCGAGGCAGAGAGAAGGCAGGCTTCTAAAACCAAACTGACTCTAATGCTAAGAGAGACGAGGCTTCTGTTTGTCTTCCATCACTTGAAGCGCTGATCTTTTGTTAGCGCCACCCTTAACTTTACTCAAACAAATGAAGGGACATTGAGAGCTGGTGGATGTGTGCTTGAAGCTTAAGTCCTGAATAGACCACTGCATGTCAGCTGGAATAATGACACACACAGATGCTGATGTGTGGAAGCTTTTCTTGTATTTTGCTGCAATATGCCTGAGATGTAGCTGGGAGGGGGAAATCTGAGCTGGTACATCAAAAGATGATTATAGGAAATAAAATCAGATAAAATAAGTTTCACAAAGTTGTCTAAATGTGCTGTATGCACATGCAGAATTTTCAAAATGCAACTGGCCAAAAACCACATATCGTTCCCCTTTTTAACGTAAAGTTGAACTGAAAAAGAATTGAAACTTGATTGATGAGAAAAAAGTCAAATAAATAGTTCAGTTAAAAAATCTTAACAGCAGATGGTGGTATGTGTGTGTGTGTGTGTGTGTGTGTGTGTGTGTGTGTGTGTGTGTGTGTGTGTGTGTGTGTGTGTGTGTGTGTGTGTGTGTGTGTGTGTGTGTGTCAACAGACTTCTGCAGTCACTGGACAGATAAAAGTGCATCTTCTAGAGCAGTTTGAGCTCTCAGGCAGCAGAGCCTGAAGCCTCTCCTGGAGTTGTGTCGTTTTGCTTTGAGCAATCTTACCATCAGCATTCTGAAAACCCTATCCTATCGTTTGACAACCAGAGTATTATGTAACTCATCACTTTCAGGAAACCTCTGCACTGTCACAGCCTCCCTCCCTAAAAAACAGGAAAATAAGGAACAAACCCTTTTGTTTTCGCACCTAAGGTGCAGTGATACCGCACTGATCTGCATTGTGAAGCAGAGCAAATTTGTTTGTACAGTCGTTTGATGAATGATGCTGTCAGTGGCTGAGTGAGACAGAACAGAGGGCTAGCTGAGGACTGTGTGTGCCCATCGAGCATCCTGAGCAAACAGATAGCCCCAGTCTCACTGCTGTACCGTTTGGCCGCACTCTAGCCGACGTTTGTGTCCCCTTTTGAGAACTGAGAAGCAGACGCTGGCATACCTTTCTGCCATCTCTGGCTCCTGTGCAAGATGTTGCGCTGCCCACAAAGGGAGCGTTCTGAGTATGAATAGTGTGTGTGTTGTGCTTGGCAAAGCGTCTGGTTGCCAGGGTGTTCTCAGGCTGTTTCCGAGTCCACTCTGCCAGCGCTGCGTGCATTCTCGTATGTGTGTGCAGGCTTTTATGTGTGTGTGCGTGAGTGTGTGTGTGTGTGTGTGTGTGTGTGTGTGTGTGTGTGTGTGTGTGTGTGTGTGTGTGTGTGTGTGTGTGTATACTAGCTCTGCGGTGGGTCATGACTCAAAGGAAGGATTCAGAACACACAGTTCTGAAATCAACAGAAGGCCTGAGGGACAAACACAACTCAACTCAGCAGATTTGCTTCCCCCTCTGTCATTCTCTCTTACAATTCTTTCATTATCTCTTGTCTCTTGCTTTCATCTCTGCTTCTCCTTCTCTTCCTGTTTTCTTTATTCTCACGTGTCGCTCTGTGTATGCTTCAGAAAAAGAAACAGCTTTAGTGATGTGCAGAGATATAAAACATGTTAAATAAACACACCCTGTTTGTTTTACCTCCTCCCTCTTCTCTTCATCAGAGTAACTGTGGGGAAGTGTTGCGTATCCGCCGGGTGCTGATGAACTCACCCGAAATCGTGTCCATTGGGCTGGTGTGGGATTCAGACCACTCTGACCTCGCAGAGGACGTCATACACAGCCTGGGAACCTGCCTGCGTCTGGGAGATGTAAGAAGAACACTTTATTTCATGTTTTCACTGCAAATCAGTGGTCACATGCACGCAGGAAGCCAAAAACATGCACGTTGAAAGTTACACAGGGTAAACCCCCCAATCTGCTGGGCAGAGAAAGACTTCCTCGTCAACCAGATTTGATTTTCTTTCACTGAATAAAGCTACATTGTAATTTAAACTTTTAAGGACACAGATGTGAGCTGATATAATACCATACATACAGTATACTAATACTAAATATTATACAATATAAAAAAACTGTAAACTGTCTATTTTTTTTTTAATTTTATATACAAAAAATGTAAATATGAATATTCTGTTCTGGTCCTGCTGGACCTGACTGCAGCCTTTGGCACTGTTGACCATCACCTGCTACTGGAGAGGCTGAGAGACTGGGTAGGCCAACAGGATCTGCTCTGGAGTGGTTGTCCTCTTATCTGTCTGAGCGCTCCTTCTCCTCCACCACTTGCTTCACCTATGGTGTCCCACAAGGTTCTGTGCTGGGGCCTCAACTGCTCCTCTTGTCTCTGCTTCCTCTGCAGCACATCCTGAGCTCTTAAGAATAGACTAGAATTTATTGATCCCACAGTGGGAGAATTTACTTGTTACTGCAGCACCAACACTTAGAGAATAATAATAACAAAGGTATATACACATAGGCAGTAAGCTATTATTGTAACTTTTGACCATTAAAAACCACAAATAAAAATGAAACTTGGGTTCTAGAACTATGCAGCATACTGTAAGATACACAGGCATACTATGTAAATTCAGCATTGCACAAATATTAGTATTAAAATTGAGTATTGCATTGATGTTATTGTGTACCAGGAAAATGCCAGTACATTTCCATCTTTTAGTTCTTTTTAAAGACGTCAGCCATAACAGATCACTGCATACGAGAAAACATATTATGGACTGGGACAACACAAGGATCAGAAACACCAAACAACAGAAATACAAAAGATGGATAAAAGAAGCTATCGAGATAAGGAGACGTGGATGTGGGACCATGAACAAGGACGATGGAGTTTACTCGTTGGATCGCGCATGGGACTGCATTGTCGGGCAGCAGAGGGTGACAACGTCCTCTGCTGCCCGCGGATAAATGGAGAAGGAAGTGACGCCACCATCAGCGTCAGCCTGACGAAGTTTGCAGCCGCAAACGAAACGTTGCAGGTAAATAAAACCTTTCTGTGTTTTAAAAAGAACTAAAAGATGGAATTAGAATTTCAACACAGCAAGAACACACCAAAAAGGCCAGTACAGCTTAAACTGAGGAGTTATGCACTCATTATACACTTAAAGGAATCTCCTACCATCTTTATGCAGATGACATCTAACTGTACATCTCCTTTAAGCCCCATGAGATGTCTGAGCTGCAGCTGTGACACACCTGCTTAGACTCTATCAAAACCTGGATGGCTGGGAGCTTTCTACAGCTGGATGAAGATCAGACTGAGATCCTCATCTGTGCCCCAAACTAGCTGGTTCCCAAAGTCAGAGACTCTCTTCATCAGCTTGCATCTTGCACCGAACCCTCTATCAGGAATCTTGGTGTGACCTTTGACCCAACTCTAACCCTGGATTCTCATGTCAGTTCTCTTGTTCGCTCTCCCTTCTTCCATCTCAGGAACATTGCTAAACTGAGTCCCATTCTGTCCTGCTCTGAACTTGAGACAGTTATCCACACCTTCATCTCCTCATGCTTAAACTACTGTAACTCACTTTTCACCTGTTTGAGCAAAACACACCTAGCCTGGCCTGCCGTACTCCTCCTCTGAGTAATTCTGCACAGAGAAAGGGTCTGGGAACTCTCCTATTCAAATAATCCCACCCCGTGAGAATTCTAACCGAGACAATCAGCGCTGAGGAGCATATGTCCTACACCATAATGTCAGGCTTGTCAAACTTGGCGATTGAAGCGAAGTTCGCTGCGGCTCTTTCCTCTGGTCTAAATGACTTGGACGTGCCTTTAAAACAACAACAAGTAGAAGTGCTAAAAGCCTTCCTTCTAAAGAAAGATGTCTGCGCTGTCGCCAGACTCCATTTTACAGCAAAAAAAAAAAAAAAAAAGTACTACAACGTCGTGGATGTGACGTCCAAAAGGGTCAATTGTCTCCTATATATTGATCAACATAGTGACCTTTCATCTACATTATAAATTCACTTTCTGTTTGGCTATCTAAATCCAGAAGGTTCTGTTCAGTGTGTGTTTACATTCCATGAAGACAAAACATTCAAACATTCTAACCCAAGATTCTTGCACTCACTGTGTGAATGCCAGACTTCAATATTCTTCACTCTGAATAAGTAAATAGTCAAATGTGATGAATGAACAAGATGTTTAAATCAAATGTTTGAATAATCTGTGCTTAAATCAATAAATTTGAAATGAATATTGCTCTTACAATGATCCATTTATATCACAAATCACTATGTGCTTGATTTAACAAGTGAATCATTGTTTACACTCATACACATTACAATAAGATACACATTAAGGTTAAAAACATCTTTGTATCTGAAGTAAGGCGTGGCTTTCTGTGGGATGTTGGTAAATACTCAGAAACTTGTCAAATTCTGATTTGCCAAACTTGGCCAGAAATCATAACAAAGTAGTTTAATAAAACAAGAATTACTTCCCAAGTAATTCAGTTGCCAGCTGACTCCGATTCGGCCAAACTGGGAAAAAAGCCTATTTTGAAACAAACTCCTTTGACCTTAAGTCAAAACCTTTCTGTGACGCTGCAAGTGATTACAGACACAACAGCTACTTCAACTCAGACATCCACCTCAGACGTCTAACCTACAGACCCCGGGTTGCATTTCATGGCTGAGGAAGCTGAACTCAGAGGAATCTACTAATCTCTTAAGTATTGTTTCGATGTCCGGTGACCTCACCAATGTGCTTGTAACCCTCCGGACCGCCGGGAGCAACTCATACAAGGGTATCGTAAGTAGGGATGCACCGATGGATCGGCATTTGATCCCAGTCGGCCGATAGCGCCCCTATCGGTTTTGATCTGAGTTTTCAAAATAGATCAAAGCAGACCGATCAGGTAGGGTTGTCACGGTAACCAGTATAGCGGTAAACCCCGGTAAAAAAAATTGACAATAATAATAACCGTCTTGTTTTTTAAAAAACTATTATCTCGGTGGGTTTAACGTGGCTGCGGTGTAGGCACGGTGACCCTTACCAGCCACCGTATCATCTGCTGAAGTTGCCGGCGGCACATGTGCGCTTTGTTGTTTACAACCAAAACTTTCTTGAAGCTAAAGCTGAAATAATGGCCAAAGGAGGAGACGGCAGCGCTCAGGACATTTATTATCTCTCAAAGAAGACAAAATCGGAAGTACGGGCATCTTTTGGATATTTGAAGAATGCCGAGGGACAGTTTCGGCTATCCTGTTTGCAGCATGTGCAGGAAAAGTGTCTGTGAAAGGCAGCAACGCTTCAAATCTCATGACACATCTGCGTGACCATCACCCACAACTCTACAGTCAATGCAAGGCAAGCTAACGTTAGCGTTTTAGCTAAAATGCGTGATCCGAGGATTTGGGTTGAGGGAGAATGCAAGGAGTCGCTATATAAAGCTGCCGCAGCGCCGCTACCTGCATATAAACCGTGTCGCAGACACCCCCATGTTGAAATGACGCTATGCATTACGGGGCTCCCAAGGGCAGATAGAGTTGGTCTCTCTCTGAGAATAATTATGAATTTAACAATGATTACTGCCTGATGACATTTTCCCACATCTGCAAAGCTCACTGGAAGGACACAAACCGAGGACAACATTTTCCTGATAGGGTTTATTACTCAAGTAAGGGTAAAAAAAGTATCTGATTAGAAGGCTACTTAAGTACTGAGTATCATCTGATCTAATATTTTTAAAATGATGACATCAAACAGACATAAAATAAGAAGTAATGGACAAATATTGGTATTTTAAATGCTAAAGGGAAAAAATGTAAACAAATAAACAACATAATTACAAAATAACACATTTTAGGCAAAATTTAGACCCAAACTGAGGACAATATTTCCTGACATACAGGGTTTATTTAATTGTGTGAAAATGAAATTACATCCCTAATCGTAAGCCTGCATACTGGTGTATGATGAGGTTTATAAATAAACAACTCTAGTTTATAACAAACAACAAATTCTTTTATACCCAGATTTCACAATTTCTCTCGGATACAATAACGGTTGCTACAACATCTAGCTTCCATCACAACACCTCACATCCACCACACCACATCTCCTTATTCATATCTTGTCATGTATCATTAGTTTAGGAAAAAGAATTAAATTAATTTTATAAACTATATTCTGACTGTCTGAATTAATACGAAGTGTATTTATGGTCCCTGAATGAGCAAAGAACCCTAGAATCTTCTGATTAAATATTCAAAGATCAATCAGATTGATATTTCATAGTTGTATGGAATATCACATCTTATTGGTCATAATTAATATGTATTAATTGCTACACGGATGTCATACACAACAATGCTCAGTTTCTCATAAATAACGAAGACAGCGGCAGAGTTCGCTGCGGCTCTTTCCTCTGTTCTAAATGACCCAAATGTCTTTAAAACCACAAATAGAAGCACTAAAAGCATTTCTTCGAAAAAATAAAAGATGTTTGCGCCGTTGCCAGACGTCTTTTTTTTTTTTTTTTTACTACAGCTAGAAAACTACAGCGTCGTGCGGTATAGTCAGCATTTCCGTCTTTTTTCTGATTGGTTAATTTTGAGCTTGCTAGTCCCGCCCCTCATGTGCCTCTCTGTGAGTTACCAGACTCTTTCTCTGTGCAGAATTAAACAGAGGACGAGTCTGGCAGGCCAGGCTAAAACACACCCACATCACCCCGCTTCTCCTCCAGATTCACTGGCTGCCAGTCAACTTCAGGGTTCATTCCAAGATCCTGGTTCTGGTCTTTAGGGCCTTACATGGACAGGCACCATCTTACATTGGTGATCTTCTCAGTCCCTACACCCGCAGCAGGTCCCCGAGGTCCAGTGATCAACGCCTACTGGTCGTGCAGCGCCAGGCTGAAGACCAAAGGTGACAGATTCCTTTGCTGCTGTGGCCCCCAGACTCTGGAACTCTCTCCCCCTGAGCCTGAGATCAGTGGACTCCGTGGTCTCCTTTAAAAAGCAGCTGAAGACTCACTTGTTCAAGCTGGCTTCGGTATGACCTTCTGTTGACTGTTCCTCACTACCTTCTTTTCATGCTGCTCTTTCTACTGGTTCTGTTTTTCTCAGGACTCTGTGATTACCTTTGTTTTACTCACTGATACTTTTTTCATCTACTTGAATCTATTTTTTCCCCCTTTTATCTTGAGAGACGCTATATAGAAAATAATGGTTTGTCTTTGAAAGAAACCAAATTTCTTGCCAGTTGCTTGTTTTGATCAAAGTAGAACTGTAGTTGTTTCTTGCTCTGAAAACCTGCTTCGCTGTGAGGACTTGTAGTAATGATAAAGACCATGAAACCACTTGCTCTGCTTGTTTGAGGAATGAGTCAAAAACTGTGGAAACTTTGAAATGATGAATTTCACAGGCTGTTTTAGCACAATTTCTGCTGCAGCACCATTAAAAATAATCATTCACATAAGGCAGGGTTGACACGGCAGGATTTTAAGATTGCTGAATTAACATGAGTGACCCTACATATGTTGAAAATAAAATCACAGATAGAACAATTTTACTAGTACTGTGTGTTGTTCAGCCACATGGCAAAAGCTACACACGAACTTCCCCTTGTCTAAGACTTTTTCTTTTACACTTTGGGCACTGGTTACATGTGACTTTCAACAGGCAGCACATTTGTTTGGCCCCAAAAATCAGACCAAGACAATCCAACATGTCTGAAAGATCCCATTCGAGTGTGCCAGAGCACTCCTAACACACCGCACATGGCAGAAATATCTAATAAGATTATCTTTAGAGCCATTACAGAAATGATGTGTATTCTTAAGATTGTAAAAATGTGAGAATCAGGTCAAAAATCAGCACAATTCTTACATGTTAACTGGGCATTGGGTACCCTCAACTAGAAATGCAAAAATATTAGTAAAGATCAGTATCGTTTGTGCACCAAAAGATCATAAAAAATCTAACTATGAAAAAATATTTATATGACGTAGGACATTTAAATTTCAAGCATTTACTACTTTACTAACAGTATGTTTTGGAAGAGTTAGGTATAAGTTCAAGTTTGACTCATCCTCAGGCTGAAATTCCACAGTGGGCATGCTTGGCCTGACCTTTAGCACATAAGTTATACAAAGGTCAAGCCAGCATGCGGCTGTGACTGCCTCATGCATGTTGTGATCCTGACGTAGCATCAGAAGTAAAATCTTAAAGAATAATTTGTTTTCTTTTCACTACACCTTTAAAGCTCAGGGGCCTCATTCATAAAGCTTGCTTACGCACAAAACGGGGTCAGAAAACTGCGTAAGCAACTTTCCACGCAAACTTTGGGATTTATGAAAGAAAACTTAGCGGGAAAATGTGAGCAACTTTAAGTTGACTAAGGACCTGGCTTACGCACATTTTGGACATGGAGAGCACCTGCAGTGCTGCTGCTGAGAAGGATAAAATTATGAAATCCTGCAGCATTATCACTTGTACTGCTTCGTTTTCACACAGAACAAGACGCCCCACATGCACACACACGTGCGCACGCGCGCACACACACACACACACGCGTGCAAACACACACACAACCTGAAGCGCAGAATACAGAATGCAGAATATCAGCAGGAGGACAGATTGAGACAGAATGTCATGCGTCTGTGACAGTGTGTGTCCTGTCACTGTGACCCAGTTGATCATGCACCCTGGCTACGTGTAAAGGGGAAATCTCCATTTGGCTGACTGGTTAGCACTCGTGACTTTCACCTGGGAGTCTGGGGATCAAATTCTGATTGGACTATTTTTTTAATATCCGCCACAGATCTCTCTGAAGAATTCACAACATTGATGGCTTCAGCAACGCTGTGCCACTCCGTGGATTTTCTCTTATTTGTTTTGCAAATACACTTCTTTTCATTTCTCCACTTCACCCACAGGTACCTCAATTTCTGTTTCTGAAATAGCGCTTCCTTGAGCTGCCTTGATCTACGGTCACCATCGTCATTGGCGGAGCGCCGCAACAGCCGGCTTATGTATATGCATGAGATCCACAAGGCGCTTTACATTGACCATTTATGGCAGTAAGTGGGCGTGGTGAGGACGGGATGTGACTAAATTGCGGCTGAGAAACATTCTCGTTAGTCTCCGATTTATGAAGCAGAGATTGCGTGCAGCTGTGCGTACTCCATGTTTGATAGATCACAAACCTACTTGGCATAAGTACATTTTTTTTTGCTGAGCTTAAGTACGGTTTTAGTAAGGATTCTATGCAATGTTTGATAAACGAGACCCCTAATCTCTAGAGACTCCTGCATAAACAGCATTGATCTATCAAAACAGACTGAATTATAACCAAATGTGAACTTTTAATTATTAAAAGAAAACCTTAACAAATGTATATCCTTCATTTATGTGTTCTTTTCTAACGTCTATTCTACCTAAAATACTCACAGGGCTGTGCCTCTGTAATAAAAACAAAAGCCTACAAATTACAGATTGCGAAGCACAGTCTGTTATATTGTTCCGTAAAGAGCTCGGAAAGTTCCACCATTTCTCTGCAGAATGCATGGACACACACAGACACACTCACACATGCATGCACACACACTCACCTTACATGTTTGACCTCTGATTCTCTGTGTCATAACTGAGTAATGTTGATGCATTTTTTGCCGCTGTAACATCTCCAGCCCATCCTGAAGTGATACCCATGAATAATGGATTAGTTAATATGAATATGTGTTGTGGTGAGTCAAGTTTTCCCTCCTCTCTCGTCTGTCTCTTCCTGCTCGTTTTCATCTTGCTGCTGCGGGATGAAACTAGCTGTTGGATACAAATCTGAGGAATCATCCGCTGAGTTTCCCTCTTTTGTTCAGCGGTTAAAAGCAAATCCATCTGCCTCTTGCATCCTGTCTCCATTTCTGCAGCTCTTGCTTGGTTTGTCTGTCTTCTGCACCTGTTTCCACTTCTCTTCTACATTCTTTCATTCTTTAGATTGGATTGTTTCAGTGCTTAAACAAATAGTTGTATTAAATGGATTTTTGATTGTAATATTCTTGTCAGAGGCTTTGCTGAAGCAGAAACTTGTTCTGGTTGCAGCGGTTATAGGGGACATATTATGCAAAACTCATTGTTTACATTGTTTAGTGCTGCCATGTGTGTTCTCACCTCTTCCATAAACACTTAAAATGTGGGGGAAAAAAGATAAAACATCCATCTGTTTTCTGTCCGTGCTTGGTTTTAGGAACTTTGTGCCAAAAATAAATTGTTTTAAAAAAGCCCTCATTTGTGATGCCACAAACAGGGAAAGTGGATTTTGGACAACCTCTTGTGTAAGAGAGAGCTGTAGCTGGAGGAGCAGCGGCTCTACTCTGAGCTCTTCCCAGATATAGGAGCTTCTAAGCATATAGCAGCCAATCAGGGGATGTATGGGTGTAACCAGCCCTAGCTTGTTGTTTTTTTTTAAGTGACAGAGCCTCATTCTGGAGAGTACTGACAATGTCAAGAATAAAACTGCTGAATTTTCTTCATGCGAGAGAGTTTCAGTGCAAAACACTTCATTAACCTGTTTGGTCTAGCACTATTATAATTTAAGGGGGAAAATCGTAATGGGACCCTTTTGAAATGTAATGTTTGATTCTTTAGGTTCTGGGTGATTTGATGTCACCTTGGGTAGTGAAAACTTCTGAAGCACTATTTTGCGACATTTCAGAGACTAATGTGGGTTTTGGCAGCAGCAGGTGCAAACACTGAATCAGTATGGGAAAGAATAGCTGTTTATACAAAATATGATAATGTTATACGGACATTGACGTCTATAAAATCTCTGAGTTGTGGCTGTTTTAGCTCCGGTGGGTCACCTCTGAGAGATGAGAGTCAGATCACTTCTGCTCAGAAACGCTGCAGTGCCTCTGTAGCAGAATGTGGAGTCTAACTGCATACAGTGCAAATAGTAAGTAAGGAAAAAATATGCTTGTATTCACTTTGTTTCTGTCTCTGCACACCTCTCCCCCTGTCGCCTCCCTCGCTCCCCCTCCCTCCTGCCTCTATCTCTCTCTTTAGTTGTTCTACCGTGTGACAGACGAGAGGGCTCGCCAGGCGGAGCTCTACTTGGTGGGAATGGTGTGCTACTACGGCAAGCACTACTCCACCTTCTTCTTCCAGACCAAGATACGCAAGTGGATGTACTTTGACGACGCCCACGTCAAAGAGGTGAGACCGTTTCAGTTTTTTTTTACTTTATGCTGCAGCATTAGTAGGACACACTGTACAGCAGCTGCTGCATCCTTGGCTGTGCCTGTGAGCATCACAGGAACTGGACAATGTTTTAGATTAAGTGCTGCATAGTCAAGTTTTGTTTTTCCTCAGTGAGGACTTGAGATGAATTATGTGCGTGAATTTGTGGCTTTATTCAAATCTGGCCTTTTAAATGTGAGTGGTAAAACTCTCTCTGTTGTAAATGTGATGTGAGAGCACGTTATGACTCAGAAGAAAACAGATCCCGGGATGCAAATAGACTCGTCCTTGACTCCTCCATCAGTCACACTTCACACTCATGACCATATTAGATGATTGAGCAAGTGATGAGGCGCGACAGTGTGATTAAATCACACATCAGCACAAATTGCATTTGACCTTCTGTTTTTTGAGGAATTTGCATGAAGTTGTTACCTGATATAGACCGATATTCTTACTTTAAATGTGTGCGTGCGTGTGTGTTTGTGTGTGTCTTCGTCTTCTGGTGCGCCTCCAGATTGGCCCGAAGTGGAAGGACGTAGTGTCTCGCTGTATCAAAGGCCACTATCAACCCCTGCTGCTGCTCTACGCTGACCCCAGAGGGACGCCGGTGATACTGCAGGAGAGCCCCAACCCTTGTACCAGCTCCAACCCGCAGCTGGAGCTCCAGCACTGCAGCAGCAAAGCTGGTTACGACAGCGAGGACTCGGGTACAGCAGAAGTGAACATGCTGCCACACATTAGATGAGATTACTTTGTCTTTTTGTGTTGCTTGTTTGATATAATTCAGCTTTAAAGCTCTGACCTTCAGTGGTATAATCCCACCACTGCCTCTCTACACTGCAGAGCCTGAGCTTATTTTACAGCCTTTGTACACAGATGACGTGTGTGCCGGATTACCTAAAAGGTCATCTATTCTTTCTCTTTCAGGTCGGGAGCCATCCATATCCAGCGATACCCGTACCGACTCCTCAACGGACAGCTCCAGCCATCGCACCACTCGCAGCAGACCCCTGCACCAGTCTACGGGCAGCCACCTCTCCAGTGAATCCCAGACCACAGTGGTCTACAACTACGACCCCAGCACGCCGCCGCTCGGTGCTGACGCTGGAGGTAATGCAAAAGCCAGAAGCAATGTCATTCTTTCAGATTTTCCATGCTTTCAAGCTGGTCATCTTGAGGTTGTAATGCATCTTAAAAACATCCTAAAGGTTTACATCGTCAAGATTTTGGCATTTAGCCCACGTTTTTATAAGTCTGGGGGAAAAAATTGGAAATTGTCATAGAAATCAAACATGAGATTGAACAGAACTTATGCGATCGATACTTATGGGGCCACTTTAGTATCGGATTAATTTTTTTAGGTGAAAATCCTAATTTATGATAAATCGTTGCCCTTTTTTTACATGCATGTTTTCATGCTGACAAGTAAACTACAGCCAATCTACTGCAGATTCATGATAATCATTACTGCATCTCTGTCAACTCACTAGTGAAAAGAAACATATTTTCAAAGAATAATATGATCATTTTGATCATTGTGTAAAAGTTTTAGCTTATCCTACTTGTTGAAGATCCTGTGCAGCCTCAGTTTGGAGAAATAGCTGTCACACAGCTGTGTGAATGTGTGTGTGGGCACGGCTGAATGACTGTTGTTCTGTAAAGCACCTTGGGGGTTCTACGACTCTAGAAGGCACCATTTAAGTTCAGGCCATTTCCATTTCTTAACAAATAGGGCTCGTGTCCAACAGGGCTGAACAGCTTTGGTAAAACCAAAGTGGATCTAGCAGATGTGAAAGCAGATGTTTTTAGATGTCAGCAAACACATTTTGAAGTTGGCCCATTGGAACCATGTTTGAAAGGTAAAACATTGGCATGCCTGGGAAAGGTAGCTCTTTTATTCATCCTGCTTTGTAAAAAGATGAGCTAATGGCTTGGCAGCAAAGAATAAAGTGTGTTACTGATATTCGACAGCAGGTTAAAAGTTATCAGTAACAGCCTTTACACTATATGTCAGTCTTGCAATATAGACTTGTTTCAGCAGAATTTTGAGCACTGCTTCTAAATGATGGGTCGAATGCAGAGAAACATTCCCCCAAGGGGGTGAATAAATTATAAACAAAATTTAAAAATATACATTTCTGCCAGAATTTACTCTTGGATGCTCTGGAACTTTTATGTTGTACATCTGGTGGTGATGATGTATTTACATTCATAAATAACAAGATAATTCTACACAAATGACCCACATGCCGCAAATGTTGGCAACAAAACATAACTCCAGAGACCGGAGCTGGTTTAGGATGACAGTTTACTGCGGTCGGATGTACTGATTCAGATTCAGAAAAACTTTTTAAATCTCAAAGGCTAGTTAAACACTATTTCTACAAGCAAAGGCTGTTCAGGAAGCAACCATGCTTCCATACGACTGCAATTCCTCATAGCAGGGCTATTCAATTCCGGGCCTCGAGGGCCAGTATCCAGCGCTATCAGTGATTTCTCTGCTCCGACACACTAGATTCGGTAATTGAATCACCTGCAGCAGCTCATCAGGGTGCATTATAACAAGAGTTATAATGACACTCTTGTTTCCAGCGGGTGAGGGAGTTTGCTGAACACTTGTTGTTGATGCAGTAAAAAGCAAACAGAGGTCAGTTTTCAAGTTTCACTGCAAAAAAGGGATTTAGTTCTTCTCTGCACCTCATCACTGCTGACTCCTCGTTGGTGCTTTTTCCTCACAGTTATTTGCACTGCTGCCTGTATAATTGCTCCCTGTGGGATAAATAAATATTATTGGTTTTACTTTTATCTCCTACCGTCAGAGTCAGCAGTGGAGGGTACACCCCACCATCCCTCTCCTCCTCGGCAGGAGTACAAAGAGACAGCAGTCTTCCTACTTTCTTCACGCAGGCCCCTCACCTCCTCTTCCTCTCGCCCCTTGTCCTCCTCATCTTCATCAGGAGTTGGGGGCTGTGAGGGTGGGGCTGGGGGGCCCCACTGGGAGGATGAAAGCACAAGCAGTGAGAGCAAGTCCAGGTACTAAACCACTAATTCACACCTGCCTTGTTTTTCACCATTAAACACCACGTGCTATATAAGCTAGCATATGCAATTGGGGGTGAAGGGTGGGGGCACTGAGAGATGGAAGGAGGTTCGGTTTGAAGTTGGCTCTGAAAACTTTGACCTGAACAGCAGAGTTGTGTGTCTGCTCATGCGTGTGCCCCAAGCCGGTGTTGTACCATTTTCTGCAACCATCAAATTCTGTGACTCTAGGGTGGAGCCTGAAGAAAGGGGTCGGGCCTTTGAAGTGTTTTTGGTTCAAATGTAGCTTGCTAGGGCTTTTTCCAAGAAGCAGTACTTAACCTTATGAGTTAACAACAGAGCAGAAGCCAAAGTTTAACCTGGACAGAAGCACGATTTCCTCTGCTTTGATGTTTAAACTACAACAAATAAATGAGTAATAAGCAGTAAGGTCATGTAAAATATGCACAAAATCAGCAATAATGGGATATGATTCTAAATAAAAAGTTAAAGCTTCAAAGTTTGATGTCCTAAATTTGCATACCGCTTTATGATCCCATACTTATATATTATACATTTAAAAGTGAAAACTCCCAGATTATTAAGGGTTTTGACTCTTCAGAGCGGTAACCTTTCCAACTCGCTGCAGCCTGTTTTCAGCTGTTGAACCGCCTCCTCGTTTCAGCCTACGCCTGCATTAGCAATCAGGTTCTGAATATAGATTTGAACTTTGAATCTCCCACTGCCAATATGTGTTCACGCTCGTCAAATCTGATTTTGTATCTCCTCATTTCTCTGAATCTTATTAACAAGGCAGCGTTGCATAAATTCTTATTACGTGGCCTAAAGCGGTTTTACCTTTCTGACCTTTTTGTGGAATCAATTATTCTGCTTTCTCTTGGAGCTTATTGCTTCCATTCGCACCTTTTTAATATATTTATGTAGTGTTACATACATTATAACATGGCCTCTTGTTTAACTTCCTTCTTTTTCTCTGTAGTTCCTCTGGAGGCTGTTACCGGCCAACCTGGAGGCCCAGGCGAGAGGCCCTGAACATCGACAGCATCTTTACCCAACAAAGAGATTCATCTTTAGGCTACAGCTCTGCGCCTGACCCCCCTCTCCCTCTGGTGACTCAGGAGGGCCTCCCCTTAGCAGGATTCATTTTACAGCCAAGAACTGAGGAAACTGAAAGAAGGGAGGTCAGGGAGGTGGGCTTTGGACTGGTAGGACAGCCCAGGTCTTTGGCAGGTGGACGGACGATGGGTCCCCCTGCTCCTCCACCTCTGAGAGGGGTGGAGCACCAGCCACGTCTGATCCAGAGGATGGAGAGTGGATACGAAAGTAGTGAGAGGAACAGTAGCAGCCCTGACAGGTGGGGACACTCACAGATAATAATTACAGCTTTTGCTGTTCATCATGCCCCCCTCCTCTTTTCTGTAGCTCCACTGTCTGATTTCATTCCATCATCATGAAGCACAAATGTGACATTAACAAGAACAAATGATCCAAAATTTGTTTTCATAACAAAAAAATCAAGCAGTGCACATGTGTTTTGTCTCATTTATCAGCATTTTCATGTTTTTTATTCTCTGTATTGCTCACGGTCCCCGCCCTGCAGGGAGGTGGGGCAACAGAAGCGGATGCTCATGGCGGGACCTTCATGGCGTTCGGTGCCGAAGTCAAAGAGCAGCGGCGCTATCATGCAGGAGGTGCCTCCACCCAGCTGGGCCCGGGGTGCACACACAGGTCTGCATTTACATGTCCTGTTGTGTTGTGTGTCATTTTTTATTTTGATTTATCACTCATGTTTTTCTTTCTAGGCTTAAGGCGCAGTGAGCTGGATGAGCTGCAGGAGGAGGTGGCAAGGAGAGCCCGCCAGCAGGAGCAGCAGAAACGGAAGGAGGTGGAGCAAGAGGCAGCCCTGGGATTCAACCCCAAACCCAGCAAATTCATGGACCTGGACCTGCTCCAGCACCAGGGTATGGATGCAATAGGAAACACTGTGTGCATGTGGAAGGGAGGAGAGACTTTTATAAGAGCAGAAAGTTAAAGTTATCAGAAATTATATCTCACTACTTGTTACAGTTTGGTGTTTATTTAGGATGTTTTTGTCCAAATCTTTTTTAAGCTAAACTGCTCGTTAAAAATGTGCAAAAAATAACAAAAAAATTCATTTTAAAGTTTGAATTTCTACTTGTGAGCTTCTGTGAATGTGTTTGAACAAAAGTTGTGAAGACAAAGGCGAGGGTTTCAAGTTGGCTGAGACTTCAGATCCTCAAGTTTATACAGTCAAGGAGAGAAAAAGGCATTTTATTCATGACGAGTCCCCTTTAAGGTCACATCATCACCTGTTTAGTAAACAGTCAAGGTGACTCGTGTCCGTGAGTTAGCCTGACCTCAACTTTGGGCTCATTCCCATCTGTTGGTGTATCTCTCCATCTGTTTCGTCGCTGGTGTGTTTTTTTATTTGTCTGTTAGCTGTGTGTGTGTGTGTGTGTGTGTGTGTGTGTGTGTGTGTGTGTGTGTGTGTGTGTGTGTGTGTGTGTGTGTGCAATGGTTCCAGCTGTGTTCAATGTAGCTGAACAAAGAAGAGAACAAATTACAACCTTCAGTTCAGTTTTCAACCAACATTGGAGCTCCTGTGGGATGTTCACTGACCAGAACAGAGTGGGACAAATCTCAGTCGTTCTTATTTTAAACCTAATTTAGTTTCAGAGTATAAAAGTCAGGCTGTAGTGTGTGCGTGGATGCGTGCGTACGTGTGTGTCTGTGTGTGTGTGTGTGTGTGTGTTTACACATATAGAATATAAGCACAGTAAATGAGTGTGTACTTGTGTATTTATTGTATTTGTATGTGAGTGTGAGTTGTCTTGCAATCGTAGACAAAGACTGCTGTAGCGATTCTTTTAAAGTCCCTCAACTAATTTTCCACTCTCGGGTCAATTTCCATCAAGTCAGTGAAGATTAGTAAACAGCGTGTTGCAGCAGTTGTATCATTTCCTTTGTGGCTCGGGAGATTTGGACTATTCCAGAGTAATTACTCGACTAACAGCCTGTGTGTAATCCTATTTCGGACTTGGGGACTGCAGGGCATCAACAGGGAAATGTTTTTAAATGTATCATTGGAAGTGCAGGGGTGCACCAAACCGCCACACTTCCGCCCTGCCCTGGGTCCTCCACTCATTACACACTCGTGTATTTAGCAACAGAACACCACTGGTGTGAGAGGTTCTCCACTCAATAATGTCAGAAAAGGAGAAACAGCCAGCTGCTACCACTTCTACTTTGGGACAAATTACCAGAGTCTCAAAGGAAAAATACCATTTAAAGTCACAGACAATGAAATTTGTTTGGACCTAGCAAACAGTGACTGATGTTTAGCGCTATCTCATTTTGTCTGGCATCCCAGTTTTCCAATTCCGGCAGAAGTGTTTCAGGGAAGATACCCGAGGGGAGGAGTGACTGTTCTGTGACTGTGTTTGCGTTCAAAATCTAGCTTGTTTGCAGATTCACCATAACTGCTTTGAAACAACAATGAAAAATTAAAGGATAAAATGATGTACATTAAACAAAAAAAATATATATATATATATATAAAATATATAAAAAGATTTGATGGATTGAATTTAATTTACCACATTTGAATATACTGAGCTATAGACTGTAGCAGAAGTGAGAACATGATTGGAGATGTGTGCAACTAAGAGAAGCAGAATAACAACAGAACTGCAAATCAGTAAAGGCAGCAGGGATGAAAATACTGTTGGAAGCAGTGGTGGTTCTAGAGACTGGCCTCCTCCCAGCAGCTGAGCAGCTAGGAAGGACCTACATGGGCTGCATGGTGACGCAGTGGTTAGCACTGTTGCCTCGCAGCACGAAGGTTGCAGGTTCGAAACTCGGCTGCGGCCTTTTTGCGTGGAGTTGTGTGTTCTCCCCATGCATGCGTGGGTTTCCTCCGGGTACTCCGGTTCCCCCCACAGATCACAACATGCCCTATAGGTTATAAATTGTAAGTCGCTTTTGATAAAAGCGTCTGCCAAATGAATAAACATAAACATAAACCTACAGTAACGTTCCTTCATGCATCTAGGGTGCAGCACTCTTCCAGTGAAGGAGACTGTATGTGTGAATAAATTAGATCATTTATTACATTGTAACTTCTCTAACTGTGCGGGTTCAGTTCAAAGAGACTTTATGCATTGCAAGAGGTGCACACTTAAAATGCACAGACACACACACACACACACACACACACGTGTGTGTGTGTGTTTGTGTGTGTGGAAATGGGATGGGAAATACAATTGTGGTAGGACAACTTCCTACATGGGATGTATCACCGAATAATAACGGAAGTGACTGACATCAAGAAATCCTACCGATGGCTAGAAAGAGCTGGTCTGAAGGACAGCACAGATGCTCTCTTCATGGCTGCACAGGAACAGGCTCTCAAGACCAGAGCAACAGAGGCCAAGATCCACCACAGGATTATTAGGATCACCATACTAATACGGTGTTTGACCTCCTTTTACCTTCAGAACTGCCTTAATTCTACGTGGCATTGATTCAACAAGGTGCTGAAAGCGTTCTTTAGAAATGTTGGCCCATATTGATAGGACAGCATCTTGTAGTTGGTGGAGATTTTTGGGATGCACATCCAGGACATGAAGCTCCCGTTCCACCACATCCCAAAGATGCTCTATCGGGTTGAGACCTGGTGACTGTGGGGGCCATTGTAGTACAGTGAACTCATTGTTATGCTCAAGAAACCAACTTGAAATGAGTGCAGCTTTATGACATGGTACAGTATCCTGCTGGAAGTAGCCACAAGAGGATGGGAACATGATGGACATGAAGGGATGGACATGGTCATAAACAATGCTCAGGTAGCCCGTGGCATTCAAACGATGCCCAATTGGCACTAAGGGGCCTAAAATGTGCCAAGAAAACATCCCCCACACCATTACACCACCACCACCACCAGCCTGCACAGTGGTAATAAGGCATGATGGATCCATGCTCTCATTCTGTTTACACCAAATTCTGACTCTACCTTTTAAATGTTTCAATAGAAATCGAGACTAATCAGACCAGGCAACATTATTCCAGTCTTCAATTGTCCAATTTTGGTGAGCTCGTACAAATTGTAGCCTCCTTTTCCTATTTGTGTTGGAGATGAGTGGTACCTGGTGGGGTCTTCTGCTGTTGTAGCCAATGTGCCTCAAGGTTGTGCGTGTTGTGGCTTCACAAATGCTTTGCTGCATTCCTCGGTTGTAACGAGTGGTTATTTCAGTCAAAGTTGTTCTTCTATCAGCTTGAATCAGTCGGCCAATTCTCCTCTGACGTCTAGCATCAACAAGGCATTTCTACCCACATGACCACCGCATTCTGGATGTTTTTCCCTTTTCACACCATTCTTTGTAAACCCTAGAAATGGTCGTGTGTGAAAATCCCAGTAACTGAGCAGATTGTGAAATACTCAGACCGGCCCGTCTGGCACCAACAACCGTGCCACCTTTCTTTCCCATTCTGACATTCAGTTTGGACTTCAGGAGATTGTCTTGACCAGGACCACACCCCTAAATGCACTGAAGCAACTTCCATGTGATTGGTTGATTAGATAATTGCATTACCTGGGGGCAGCAGTAGCTCAACAGGTTGAGCGGGTTGTCCAGTAATCGGAAGGTTGCAGGTTCGATCCCGGCTCCGGACAGGGAATTCTGCTGTTGTGTCCTTGGGCAAGACACTTAACCCACCTTGCCTGCTGATGGTGGTCGGAGGGACCAGTGGCGCCTGTGCTCGGCAGCCTCGCCTCTGTCAGTGCGCCCCAGGGCAGCTCTGGCTACATCGTAGCTCATCACCATCAGTGTATGAATGTGTGTGTGAATGGATGAATGATGTATACACTGTAGTGTAAAGCGCTTTGGAGTCCTTACTCTGAGAGGCGCTATACAAGTGCGGGTCATTTATCATTATCATTTAAGAAGAAGTTGAACAGGTGTTCCTAATATTCCTTCAGGTGGTGTGTATATAATACATACATACATATATATACATTTTATTTAAAAAAAGTGCCTTTCTAGTCACTCAAGGACACTGTACAAAAGAAAAACACAAATCATTCAGTAAGTAAACATACATCAACAAACAAGGCACTCTGAAATTCAAAGCTGATATGTGGTTTTGAAGAGGTGAGTTTTGAGTTGTTTTTTGAATTCTGTGAATGAGTTAATGTTCTTGATGAGAGGGGGAAGGGAGTTCCAGAGTTTGGGAGCGGTGCAGCTGAAGGCTCTACTCCCCATGGTGCTGAGACAAAAGGAAGGCACAAAGAGATGAATGGAGGAGGAGGACCTGAGGAAACGGGACGAGGTGATGGTGTGAACGAGATCTGTGAGGTAATGAGGGGCGAGGTTACGGATGGCCTTGAAGGTGAGAAGGAGAATCTTGACGTGAATCCTGGTATGCTCTGGTAGCCAATGGAGTTGTTTGAGGATGGGGGTGATGTGATGAGAGATGGGAGTTTTAGTGACGGTGCGTGCTGCTGCATTCTGAACCAACTGGAGCTTACGGAGGGTTTTCTGAGGGAGACCTGAGAGAAGAGAGTTGCAATAATCGATATGTGATGTTACCAGACTATGGACAAGAATAGAAGTAGAGTGGACATCAAGGGAGGGGCGAAGACGATTAATGTTACGAAGATGGAAATAAGCTGACCGTGTGATGCTATTGATATGAGATTGGAAGTATAGTGTGCTTTCTAGGATGACACCCAGACTCTTGACCTGGGAAGAGGGGGAAACTGAAGTAATATCAACAGTGAGAGAGAAACTGTCAAAGTTTGAGAGGATGTTCTTGGTACCAACCAAAAGAAGTTCTGTTTTGTCTGTATTTAATTTCAGGAAGTCCGAACTGAACCAGGATTTTATTTCTTGAAGGCAGGTGATGAGGGAGGATGGAGGAAGTGCAGAATTTGGCTTACTGGACAAATAGAGCTGGGTGTCATCCGCGAAGCAGTGAAAATGAATATTGAATCTGTGGAAAATATTGCCAAGGGGAAGGATGTATATAATGAAAAGGAGGGGCCCCAGGACAGAGCCCTGGGGCATGCCAGAAGAGACAGAAGAGGGCTGTGAGCGGGAGAATTTGATAGTAATGAACTGAGTGCGACCTGATAGGTAGAACTGAAACCACCGAAGTGATATTAGCAATGCCGATGGAAGATAACCTATGGAGGAGAATGGAATGAGATATTGTGTCAAAGGCCGCACTCAGATCAAGGAGGACCAGGATGGATAGTAGACCGGAATCAGCAGCAATGAGGAGATCGTTAGTTATTTTGAGGAGGGCTGTTTCTGTGCTGTGAAGTGGGCGGAAACCGGACTGGAAGGCTTCATAGAAGGAGTTTAGTGTCAGATGGGTGTGGAGCTGGGCAGCAACTATTTTCTCTAAAACTTTGGAGACTAAGGGTATGTTGGAGATGGAGCGGAGATTAGTAAAAATGTTAGGATCCGAACCAGGTTTTTTAAGTATTGGAATAACTGCAGCAGTTGTGAAGATAGAGGGAACAATACTGGAGGAAAGGGATGCATGTATGAGAGCGGAGACGAGAGGGAGCAGGGAGGGGAGGCATGATTTAATCAAGGCAGTGGGAAGGGGATCGAGAAGGCAGGTATAAGACTTTGACTTGTGGATAATATCTGATATCTCAGAATCACTGGGAAGTTGGAAACTGGAAAATAACTGTATTGGTTCGGGAGGATCATATGGGGAGGTAGGGGGGATGCTTTGATTGATTGCACGGTGAATGTTTATTATTTTTTCCGTTGAAGAACAGAAGAAGGGCATTACAGGTCGCAGTAGAGCACATGTGTGGCAGCAGAGTATCGGATGGCCGGTGAATTTTATTGATAATGGAGTACAATGACAGTGTTGCCTCAATTGGAGTTGATTAGACAGGAGTAATACTGTTGTTTGGTTAGTATAATTAAGTCCTTATACTGAGTCATATACTGCACAGCTAAGAGGAGTGAGACCAGAGCAGCACAGCAGATCCAGGCAGTGTCCTTTGGAGTGAGTTGGAAAGTTGATGTGCTGATTAAATCCAAGGCTGTCCAGGCAGGATGAAAAGTCTTTGGTGAGGGGAAGATCGCTGTTGTCCATGTGTATGTTAAAATCTCCAAGCACTATTACATTAGATGAGAGTGTAGATAAATGAGTGAGCAGTACTGAGACTTCTGACAGAAAGTCTTTGTGAGGTTTAGGGGGGCGGTAGATTAATCCAATGATAGTGGGGGTAGGTCCATTAAGTTTAAAAACCAAATACTCAAAGTAATTAAAATCAGAGACAGACACTGGCAAAACTTTCCAATTCTCGCGATAGATTATTGTGAGACCTCCTCCGCGAGAACTGCGTGGTTTGGTGAGGTAAACAAACCCGGGAGGAGTGGCGTCGTTGAGTTGGGAGAAATCAGCTGGCTGCTGCCAAGTTTCGCAAAGGCACATGAAGCCAATTCCACGATCCTTGATGAGATCGTGAATAAGATGACCTTTCCCAGTGAGAGAGCGGATGTTGAGAAGGCCGAAGTTGACGGTGGTGCTGTCACATCCATGAGCGTTAGCTGTCCTGGCGAGGCTGGCTAACGAGCAGTGATCAGCTGTACGGCTGAATGAGTTCCTGTGAGGATGACGGCGAGTGGTCGACCAGAAAGAATTGATTGAAGCGGAGTTGTGGTAGTGGAAATTCCTGCGTGAGCCGTGGTGGACATATCTCCGACGGAGAAGATGAGACATGTCCGGGTCGAGGTGCAGTGAAGCCGGTGGAGATCCAGGGCAGTGGCGAATCCTGAGGAGCTCAGCGACAGTGTACTGGAGGAAGCCAGCAGCAGGTCGATGGAAGATGAATGATAAAATCCAGATGAGTGCGCACCACATGTGAATAGCTTTGGTCCACATAATAGACGTTAGGATTGATATAGATATCCACAGTCCAACATATAAAACCAAATTAAATCAAAGTTTACCGGTGTTCTGAGAAAACGTCCTACTTTGGCACAACGTCCTACCCGTAGGATAATTTTACGGTGTTTTACATGACACAAACCCTAACCCTAACCATAACTCTAACCCTAACCAAAAAAAATCAAGTATAAACGTCAATAAAAAGTACTAATACGTACTACTTATCTATTTTCCTGCAAATATGACAGCGGAGTAGCATTCCCCTTTTGTGTAGTGCGCATGCGCGCACATGCTCAGTAACAACGGGTAGGACGGTTTACGGGGTAGGAGAAATTCCCAGAACACCGGTTTACCGATGAGCAGCGGCAGCCAAACGCGCCAGCGTTCACTCAGTCCGGTGGGCGTGGAGTTGACAAGCCGATCAAGAATAATAATAATAATAATAAAGATAATAGTAATGTATATATATATATATATATATATATATATATATATATATATATATATATATATATATATATATATATATATTCCATCAAGTCAGTGAAGATTAGTAAAGATTAGTAAAGATAATAATTATATAATATAGAATAAGTTTTGTACCCACTTGTTGCAAATCAGTAAATGTCTAAGATCAGAAAGATCAGACTATATTTGCCTTTTATGTCCAAAACACTTTTCAAGTGTGTTTTCAAATGTACACAGTCACCGGAGACATATAAAAGGACAGACACCCATCTACGTTTTAAAAATAAAATTTAAAATAAAGAAAAATGCTAATTTATCATCACAGGAATTGAGCCCCTACCGCAGCTTAAATGTCAGATAAAACTGGTACTTAGGCCCGCCCCTTAAGGTTTCATGTTAGCATCCTGCTCAGGTTGTCGCAGCCATTGTGTCCTTGAGCAAGGCATCCTTGTTGCTGGTAGTGGTCAGAAGAAAGCAGCACTGCCTAGTGTGCATGACAGCTCCACCTTAGTCAATTAGCCCTAGAGTGTGAATGTGGGTGTGTGGGTGAATGATCGATGTGTTGTAAAGTGCCTTGGGGGTTCTGTGATGCTAGAAGGTGCTACATAAAACAAGCCATTGATCTGGGATCAGAATTTGATTATGCATGCCCTCGGTACCAACATCTGTCACTAAGTTTTACGAAGGTTGTTGCAGGAAGAGATGTTTACGCTTGGATTCAGTCCAGTTCTTCATTTACATGGCCTCAGCTCTGCTTTCATCTAATGTTCATTCTTTGACTTAGTATCACAGGTGACTCAAAACGCCCTGAAAGTTTAATACCAGCTTCCATAGTTTTAATCATAAAAAGGACAAAATCTCAGCTGAAGCAAATGTGGAGTAATGTATAAAGTGAACAAATGCCTGACTGCAGCTGCTAAATTCATTCAAAATTAACAAGAATCTGAGTAGTTGTTAAATATTTTATCGGCTTTCTCCAAAGCATAAAAAGAGAGCTCACAGTTATTGCTACAGACAGCAGAATTTTAAGGGTAGTGGTTAGATTTATCTAAATAAAACGGTTCCCGTGAGTTTGTCAGCTTGTTCCGAGTCATTAAAGTGGCCAGCCTTGTTAGATCAGACCCTGTCTGTACATAAATACCCAGATCTATGCATGGAAGCCCCCTCAGAAACACTCCTCCTGCTCAGCTGCTCTTTTCTGTCTCGGTTAGTCTCACTTGTTCTCTCATCCTAATCCTTCGCTGTCATGCTCTCCCTAACTTCTCTCGTCTATCCTGCTCACTCACACTTTTCGCTGTCACTCTTGTCATTATATGTTTTCTGTCTTTTCTCTTTTTTTATCTCCGGCTCTGTCTTTAACATCCTCAGCTGTGCTCAGACCCCTGCATGAGGCTAACGCTCATAGCGGATTGGCTGTAGCTGCGTGCATGAGGAGCACTGGGGGCCCAATCAAACGCAGACAGGAACAGGAAACGGAACAGGACACAGGAAACGCCCATCCACAGGGGCCATGCAGGTACTGCCACTGTCCCCTCCTTATGTTTCTGCAGCAGACCCTGTCTCAAAATCCTCCTCCTTGGTTTTTCCTTTACTTCCTTTATGTTCGTAGCCCAAGCTGTCCCCAACCCCCCCAGGTCTTCACTCTGTGTGTCAGCTAAAACACCTGTTCAGCTGAAATCCCAAGCCCCTTGTTACTCTGATTTCCCAACACTGCACTCCCACATCCAGCTGTTTGTGTGTTTTGAATGTGTGTTCTCAGCAGCACACCCTTAACTTTGCAGAGTTACTTCTTATCCCCTTTGTGTATTTGTTGCAATGCAGCAAAAACCTGCTTTGCTGTGTCGCCTTTGAGAGTTAAAAAAAGAGTTGGACCTGCTCTCTTCGTCTGTGAGCTTCACTGCTTCCCCTTATTGTTGTGTTTCTTTTTGTAGCCGTGTGCTGCCGAGGCTTCCCTTTGCTCTCTGTGTGCTGCTGATCTGTCCTTCTGTGAAGCTGCGGTCCGTCACTGTGCGTCTGTGCTGTGACTGCAGCTGAAGATCCTGTGCTGTGCTTTGTGGTTTTGCTCTGTACTGCTGAGTTTTTGTGGTGCAGTAAGTCAGCTTGCTCTCTTTCTAAAGTGGCTGTCTCTTGCCACATGTGGTATTAATAAAACACACATTGTAGAATATTATCATAATGAGGATACCGAGGTGCAAACGAGTACTTGTTTTTATGAGATGAGCAGGGACCACATATTTCTGTGATAATTAGGATTCAAACTAGATTTGATTTTATTCAATGGCTTTCAGTGTGACAGAAATATTTGCAAAAAAATGGACAAAATCCGAGTTGGAATCACATGTTCAACGTTCCAGTAACATGCAAGCGAGGCCCTGTGACTGGCATGATGAAATTCAGAACCTTCACAAATGCTTGAGGCATTTGTGAACCTCCCTGGTGGATGCTGTAACTGGTAACCAAAAGTCACATCCCAGTGAGGCACTGGCTTTGGCTTTAAAAAGTTGTTATAAACATGTTTCACTATATATAAACCTGTTCTAAGCCTTTTTTACTCCAATCAGATAGGATGAATCTGTTTTATTTGGGGATATTAACACACACACAAAAAAAAAAAAAACATCAAAACAATGATCTTGTCTAGATGAACCAGATGATGTGAACCATCAAATCACAAAAGTATCACATTTTGGATCATTTAATTGCATCTTTTTGACTTTACTTACACATTGAGATGCTTTTTATGAAATAGAAATGACATGTATGTTCTCTTTACCGGACTTGATCAGTCGTTGTACATCGCTGCATCTAGCCTGTGTTTTTGACCAGGGCTTCATGCATGGGTCAATTATTCCTTCTCATCAAAAATATATTTTATAACACAAACCAAAATATAACAATAATCCCCAAATCTACAGGTGAAACTCTAAAAATGAGAATATGGTGCAAAAGTCCATACATATCTGTAATCCAACTTAGACTGAGAGACCATCTAAAGCAGAGGTTCTCAAATATACGTGGCCAAGGGCCACATTTAAAATGTCCAAGGAAGTTGAGGGCCGATCCGGGAAGTGGGTGTTGTTAGAGGAAGTGGAGATGGCACTAATGGGCTCGACACAAGGGAGGCGACATCGCCTCTCCTCCATTCATTTTCAAGGAGACATGCGCGACAAAGCGATAATCGCGGGTCTCTCTCCTACTAAGCGAAACGCGAAAAACATGCTTGTGAAATTTTGCGCTCGTACACGTGTCGTGCACGGACGACCCAGCGACGCGATCCCAGAAAGTTGAAACATTTTCAACTTTTCATCGCTGTCGCTCGGACGAGGACCAATCAACGGAGGTTTCGTTCACTGACCAATGAGCGGACAGGATGCTCCGTACACCTCCGAGCAAACATGGAGGAGAAGTTGATTATTATTATGTTTTATAAAGTAAAACCAGAGGTAAGATTTCACATAACTAGCAGCACCTTGTGAAACATCATATCTACCGCTTTATTAACTGAACTGCTTAAATAACCTTAATTCCTTCCAACCTGACACAGCCAAACAAAACAACGGAAGTTTCGATTTCGCCATGGAACAGAACGCGTAGACGGTTTTGCCGCTAGCCGCTGCTGCGGGTCGTCTCCCGTGTGTCAGGTGATAAAAGCGACGGCGACGAATTTCGATGATCGCGGTCGTTTGTCGCCTCCCGTGTGTCGAGCCCATAAGTCAGTCCTCCTGTATTTAAATGTCCAATCCAGTTCCTGTCCGATTCCGGTCTAGGGTGGGGGCCACAAAGAGGGGGTGTGTGGGCTGGACCCAGCATGCAGACTGCATTCAGTACCTCTGATCTAAAGGCTCAGGAACCCTTTGCAGGTGTTCTGGGTTCATAAGCTGATTAGATTGTGACACTTTGACTATAGAACATTGAACCTTTTATACAATATTCTAATTGTCTGAGATTTTGAATGTGAGGATTTCAAAAACTGTAAGCCACAATCATCACAATTATAACAAATAAATGCTTAAATGTCTTTGCGTGGCATGAGTCTGGCTCATACATTCGTTTCACCTTTTAAGTTGAATTACTGACATAAACTTTTGCACCATATTCTCATTTTTAGAGTTTCACCTGTATAATTGTGGTCTCCAAAGTCTTCAGGTGCCATAATCCTGCATGATTAAGATGTTTTTCTGCTTCAAAACAAGTCAAATGTGTTGAGATGGAAACTTCTGAGGCATGCAGGATGGTGACTAGATAGAAGGAGTCAAACATTATCCTGCAGAAATGTTCTGCATCACCATTTTAATAACCACCTTTTACAAACCACTATTCTAGCTTGTCTTTTATCTGTAAAAGTGTTTTTTCACCGATTGCTGACTCAAATGCTAACTATAGACACACATCTGCATTTTAAGTATAATCTGTAAATCTCTATGAGTGTCAGCAGCCTCTCTACAGCGACAGTCAATCAGATTCTATGTGACTGAGGCCTTGTCAGTTTAGACGTTTAACTGAATTTATCACCGCTGTAAAGTCTAGATATCAAAACAGTCTCACTTTCAAAAGTTTGGCTATAGCATCCACCACCTCTGCTTTTTTGACAAGATTAAAAACTTTTTCTGGAGCTTATCTGAGCACGTTCCTTTCCTCCCTAAAGCTGCTCATCAACATTTATGGGGAGTCTGGCAGCACTTTGCAGCAAATTAACTTTTTTGTAATTATAAAAACCAGACATTTCACTTTGGTAAAATTGATTTCAGTCTATATTTTAATAGAATCTGGTTCAAAAATGGAGTTAAACTTAAGAAAAAAGTTAATTTGACTTTTAACAGTGAAATTGGAGGAAGAGTAGGTGGAAGTAAAGCTTTCAGCGCTCAGCCTCTTTTATTACATTCCTCCTCTATTGATCAACATAAGCTGCTGATTTATAGCTCGCTGCTGCAAAGCCTTCTTGGTAATTACAGAGACTTGAAAAAAGACTGGGGAGTTAATGTGGGGGGTGGTGGGGGTGGGGGGTGGCACTCATACAGACACATGCAACTGTGAATGCCGTACAAAAATAGACACATTTACAGACCTTAACATTCTCACAGCTGTGCTGATCAATAGCAAGACACCTTTTCTCGGCAGAGATATGCCGTTAATGTTCAGCGTGTATGATGATCTCCATAAATCAGTGCGTCAGTGTCAGTAAACGACTCATTGTGTAGATTTCTGCCTTTGAGGTTAGATTAAACAAGAATCTTTGATCATGCAGGATTTTCCAATCAGACGGTGAAGTTTGAGATGTGTCAGCTCAGCTCTGCTTGTGCTTCAGTCATTAAACCGCATGGCTCTGGTTCAGAAAGCTGCATCCCTGTGTGTTTGTTCTGTGTGTATCTGCTGTTGTGACCTTCCCTCGATGCAGTAACTCACCTGACGTCAAAGCTTCTCCCCGGTTTTTCTTTTTTTAATTTATTTTATTCTCTTCTTGCTGCTGACTGACACACACACACACCTTCTGTCCTGTGTCCTCCAGTGAACAGCCTGGCTCGGTCCAAGTATTACTGATGCCCAATCAGGAGGAGGGAGAGGACCAGGCAAAGCCCAGTCAGGACGCTGCTCAGGGCCAGGACCCACCCCCTCCGTCCTACCGCCCCCCTCGACCCATGCTTACCCTCAGCACCTCTCACCCTTGCACTCCTTCTGGTCAAGGAGAGGAGGAGGGCAGGCACACGGCGAGGAGAGGGGAGGAAGGTGAGGGTGGGCAGGACGGAATGGGGGTGAGGCTGTGTGAGTTGCTGCAGGCAGGAGGGGTGAGCGTCAGACCATTGGGGAAGCACTTAGCCATCTCCCTACCTTCGCTTCCTCTGCGTCTCTGGGATACACACATCACACACACCTCAAACTCCACACACACCCCGCCTCCCCCGTCTCCCCCTCTGGACACCTTTGGGCAAAGGAAACCTCCTGCTCCACTCTGGCAGCCCCCACAGCCTCACACACCCGATGACGAGGTTCAGCATTGGCAGCAGCATGGAGCAGCCACAGAGAGCGGCACACGCCACTGGTCCTCCTGGAGCCTGGACCGCCCTGACGCCGTGGTGACACCATACAACACCCCCCCAGACTGCTGCATCCCCATCAGACCGCTGATGCCCGGTCAAAACTACAGCCATAGCTGCCAGTCTTCTCCAGGGCACTACACCTCCCAGCATGCCTTAGGGCGGCACGGTGACCCCTGCTGTGACCGAGAAGAGGCTGAGCTGTCTGAACTCGACACCCTATTTCAGGCCAGTCTGCTGGCTGGAAGAGCAGGTACACACTCTCTCTCTCTCTCTCTCTCTCTCTCTCTCTCACACACACACACACACACACACACAATGGACTATTATACTCATAAGGGGGCAGATCTGGGACACCAATCTGGTTTTTTGAGGCCTCTCCGATCACATGGATATGAGGGTTGTGTTCTGCTAAAATGAAACTGTGTGTATTTCCAGGTTGTAGCCCATCTGAGAGGCTGATATCTCGGATGGGAGGGCAGGCACGCTCCAAGACCCCCAACGCAGACATGGAGAGGAGTGTGTACGGAGCGGACGGCACCAACACCCCCTCCTACGTCAACAAGGCAAAGCTTGTTTAATGACCTCAGCAGATTATGTCCACGTGTACATGGGTCATCAGACATGATAAAGGACATATTTTTTCTGGTTCTCTGCAGCCAATGATGTTGCGGGATCCGTGTTTGGAGGTGGGGCCTGATGATGGGGAAAATCTGCGGCGAATCGGACGCAGCCTGAGTGGCACAGTAGTGACCTCCCGCCGCAGCCGCCTGACTGCAACCCGCAGCTTCGTGAGTAGGACTCCCACTGCTCTGCTGCCCCCTGTAGTCACGCTTGATGCATTGCTTATCCCTGTGCTTTCTCCCCACACCCCAACCCCACTGTTTGTCTCATGTCTTCCTGTTTCCAAACTGTCCACGTTCTCTCCGCACCTCTTCTTTTTCTCTCTTCTGTCTCTCTCAAAGGTGAAGCAGTCTGATGTCAGTGCCTCTCCTTGCTTACTTCCTCTCTTCTGAGTCCCTGTTGCTATTCCATCACTTCCTTTCATCCTCATCACCAACACCTTCCTCATCACCACTTCCCTTCACTGCTTCACAGGTAAACGATGCGCTGAGCTCCAATGATGCTCTCTTTAAAGGAAAGTGATGCTCATTTGCATCTGAAAATAAGCTCACTAGAATTTCACTTTAGCCGCTTGGTGTGTCAGATAAGTTCAGCCGAGAAAGAAAGAAGAAGAAATGTTTACAAATGAAAATTCTTTCTGGCAAATTGGACTAATCTGGCACAAAAGAAGCGAATCAGAAGCTGAATTCAATAGCTAATAGTGATTTCTATCCCTGTGCAAATGTGTTATTGCGTCAAATCTTTTTGAGATATTTAGAAAATCTACTAATTCACGATTTTAAAGAAGAAACTCATCTTGTTTAAAGGTGTTTTAAAAAGTATTTTTTCTCCCAAGACTAAACAAAATAAGTTGTTATTTTGTTTATTCCACTGTTTGATCCAGCACCTTTCCCAGACGAGCGGTGACTCCTTCTACTCTATTTCTCCCAAGACTAAAAATCCAAGACTGTCAATGATTTGGTAGCTAGAGCAGGTAAAGGACAATTATAGTGATAAAAAGTGTTAATGAAAAGGAAAAAACCCAAACAATGGATTAGCATTCCGAGGTAAAAACTTTAAATAAAAAAGAAATCATTAAAAAGCATTTTTTAAATTAGGGAATAGTTGCTCGATGTGTCATTTATTTCCTGTCTCTGAACATTCTGCACCAGAACACCTGCCAACCTGTTTCTCTTTGCCATTTAAAGTGTTGCTTTCATAGCAGAGGTGTTGTTTAAGGTTTCGTCACTTCCTCTGTTTCACACTGCTAAATGAATCCTCTGATTTTGGAGTTGAAGCTCTCCGAGGTTCTACAGACGTTAGTGATTGAATTACCATTACATCCCTGTTTACTGTTTGCTCAGCATATGGAGCATTTGCTTTACCGGAGTATTAGTGACCTAAAGCTTTCTCGCCAACCTGATCAGTGAGCATGTGTTTTGATTTTGTTACTGAGACCTCCTTTGTGCACAAGAAGCAGAAATTATCCTTTATGAGGATCATTTTCTGCTTATAGACACTTTGTGTGTGCTCATATTTCATACCTACAAAGTTTGAAAGTACCCTCAATTCTCTGAATATAGTAATCTTTGTAATATCTTAATAAAAATGAACTTCAGTCAAAGGTAAAGGTTCAAGTCAATGAAATGCCTCAAATGTATAAATGTGACAGGTTGGTATGAGGGTGTGTTAAAGTTCTGAATGTTGTGGCTGTTTCTAGCTTCTAAATAAATCAAAAAGTGTATTTTATGTGTAAATAATGCAGAATAAAATCCAGATAATCACTTTTTACCTTTAAGCCAAGTCTGTAGGCTTCGTGCTAATCTGACCTGTTCATGTCTTCACTTCCCACCCAGGAACTGTCGGGCAGTGCAGGAAGTGCAGGAAGTTTCTGGCTGTGTCTCACGGGGGTCAAAGTGTCCTCGGACCGGAGTCCTGCTCTGTTTCAATGAAGTCCCCCCAGTACAAGGCAGCAGTGCTTTGGTCTGTGACAGCGTCGCCTTGACGAACCTCAAATTGGCTCGAACAGGCCGAGTCCTGTTCCTAAACCTCCTCCTTCAAATAACAAACACATGCACGCACATCTGCACTGATGACTAGCCTCCCTCAGCTTTGCCCCTCCTTGCCTTTCTGCCCCTCCCCTTTGACCTTCGATTCTGTCTATGCAGTCACTCTGACCCCTTAATACAACCTCAGCCCCCACCCCCCACCCCACCCATAAACTGTTGTTTCTTGTCCCCCTTTGCCGGGGTTTCCCTGTTTAGTCTATCTGGTCTGATGGGGACGAGAGCTCTCAGCTAAACTTGTCCCTCCAAGCCTGAGGGAAGACTCTTAAACAAGTAGCCACGCCTCTTCCTATTTCTTCGTGGGCATTTCCTGTTGGACGCACATGTAGCTGAACTGAACCTGTTTCAGATGGACAGCCATATTTTTCTCTCTTCTTTGCTTTTGGGATTTTGTTGTGTTTTTTCTGCTGTGTGTCGGTGCACAGTGAACCCATGAGACTGAACTCTATTAACTACAAATCAAATAGTTGTATACAGAAAAAAAAACTAATGTATGAAACCTGTATGTTAATTAAGACCTAATGGAATGTTGATAATTAACAAATACTGACAAACTAAAGGTGGTACTTCCTCATGTCTGCATTTCAAATAGGAGTGGAGTGCACTTCACAAGTGTCTAGTTGGAGTTTCCACCCCCAAATCAGACCTAATGTCAGTTCTCCCGTTTCTACTGGGAGATTTAACAAGAAAAGCGCTTCCTGGTTTTTTGTTTCCTGCGCCTTTCCCTCTAGTCTTTTCTTTCTCTCGGCCCTTGTCGCTATGTTTGATTCTCGCTTGCTTTCTCCGTTTGAAGCGGGAAAAGGTAGCACCAGAAACAGGCCAGCAGGGAAGGAAAGTGAAGATGGAATGAGAGAATGTAGGTGAGGAAACCCGCCTCTTAGGCTTTTATCAATGAAAGCAGATGACTCAAGTGCACTTTGCAGGAAGAAGTGCACTTTCCGAGGGCTATCTGACTGAGAAGAAGGTGGAAAGAAGTAGACGGTGTTTGCTTTACTTCAAGGCCTCAGGTGAACTTCAGTGGCACTTAAAATGATCTCTTTCTTTATTTATTCATTCCACTGAAGCAGGTTTTGAGACCGAGGGTAACAAAAAAAGGTACATCTTTAGCCTGAAACTGTAACATGTCTAATATAAACATGCTTTATATGATAAATGTGTATTAGAGGTATATTTTCAGCCAGTGAGCTATCCTCAGAGATGTCGAACATTTGTCAGCAGTCCTTCCCCTCACGAGTACGTAGCACCCTGACAGGTGGAGATTACATTAATTGTATGCTTTATTCTATAGAAATGATCAAAACCCTTATGAAACAAATGGCCAGTGTAAAGTTTTGCAAGAATTTACAGATGTTGGTCGATCGTTGTAACTAAACCAAAGGTTGGCACTTAACTTGTTATTTTTATTGTTCATTTAGGTTTGTAGCTTGTTGTTGATTGTTTTTAGTTTTATTTTTTTGGGTTGTGGATGTGGGAGAATGTAGCCAATTGTAGCGCATGAGTCCGCTATGCAAATCAACCTTCCCTCACAGTCCTGTATCAGAGACGGTCAGGAAGCAGACACACCCACCGGCAGGCGCTCTTATGGACGAAGAGGAGGAGACCTCGTGCATATTATTGCTGCTGGTGCCCTTCGAAACCATCTGGTGGAAAAACAAAGTGAATGAATGTAATTTCAAATGTGTACGTTTGCGAATGACGGTCAGAGACAGAAAGGGGTAGAAAGCTGCTGAAGATGGCTTATTGTGTGTGGGTGTGTGATGAGCGAGTGTTTGTCAGTTCGGGGGGTCATGTTGCTCGGGGAAAGAGGGAACCTGTATTTTTGCAATAAAGTTATTATTAATGCACTCCCAACGGGGGCGTAACCACCATAACGTGAGTCTTCTTTTGTGGAAACCAGAAAGAAACACATTTGCACAAAAGCACACGACAGCTTTTCACTGGAAAACTTGACATCCATCTTCTTCCTCATAACTGGGGTTAGGTTGCAGGGGCAGCAGCCTAAGCAGGGGAGCCCAGACTTCCCTCTCCCCAGCTACTTGGGCCAGCTCCTCCAGGGGAATCCCAAGGTGTCCCTGGCCGGCTGAGAGACATAGTCCTTCCAGTGTGTCCTGGGTCTTCCTTTAGGTCACCTCCCAGTTGGACGTGCCCGTAAAACCTCACCAGGGAGGCGTGCAGGAGGCGTCCTGACCAGATGCCCCAAGTCACCTCAACTGGCTCCTCTTGATGTCGAGGAGCAGCGGGTCTACTACGAGCCCCTCCTGGATGACTGAGCTTTTCACCCTATCTCTTTGGCCTATTGTATCTGCGATCTCGTTCTTTCGGTTACTACGTAAAGCTTGTGACCATAGGTGAGGATAGGAAAATAAATCGAGAGCTTTGCCTTCCAGCTCAGCTCTCTCTTCACCATGACAGACCGGTATAATGCCCACGTCACTGCAGATGCAGCATCAATCTACCTGTCGGTCTTATGCTCCATCTTTCCCTCACTTGCGAAAAAGACCTCAAGATACTTAAACTCCTCCACTTGGGGCATAACTTCTTCTCTGACCAGGAGAAGGCATTCAGCCCTTTTCCGTATCAAGACCATGGTCTCAGATTTAGAGGAGCTGATTCTCATCCCAGCTGCTCACACTCAGCTGCAAACTGTGAGGGCTAGAGATCATGGTCTTATGAAGCCAGCAGGACCACATTGTCTACAAAAAGCAGAGACCTGAGACTCAGTCCACCAAACAGATCCGCTCACCGCCTCAGCTGCACCTAGAAATCCGTTAATCGGTGATAAAGGGCAGCTTTGACGGAGTCCAACTCTCACCGGAGACTTGTCGCCAATGCGGACCAAGCTCTGGCACTGGTCATACAGGGACCTAACATTTAATTTCAGTTAACATCTAATGATTTAATCAAACTAATCAAATAATAAACTAAAACTTCAATTCAAATTCACAATCTATTCAAATTTGAGAATTCTGCCTTTAAAATGCCCAAAAAGAAATATAGGTATTTCTGTTTGGTTACATAAAGTTCATGAACTGGTATTGTTTTTAGCAGACATCATTTTAATAGACTTGCTTTAACAAGTTTTTTACAGTGTAGAATTAGTATTTCTGCTTCCTCTTCCAGAAAATCTCTGCAAATATTATTAGTCTAGTTTGTTTGGACACTACATGGTGTGGCAGTATTACTTCAACTTGTTTCTGCTATAAACTGCAGTTGAAAGATGCAATAGTAGTAATCTTGTATTTTTCACAAAAGAGCCCAACTCTAAAGAACTTGAATAATTTGCAATTTTTGTTTTTAGAAAATATTTTTACAATAAAATGTTAGGGGTAAAATTAATTGAGGTGTTCAGTTTAAGGCACGTTTACTAGAATAGTTTTGATGACTCCTGGACACCGGCTCCTCAACACAATGAAGTGGTTTAAAAGATGGATGCATGAATGTTTTCCATCCGTCCCCTCTCCCACAAATGTATGGGGAGAGCTGCTTTCTTACTCAATAGCTGTCTGTTGAACAGTTTCCTAGATTTAAAATGTAATTGTCTAATGCACCACTAGATGACAGCAGTGACTCACTGCTACAGGCAATATTTAGATGCACATGCTGCCAACACGGGCTGCGCAGTGGTTAGAGCTGATGCCTTGCAGTAAGAAGGTCCTGGGTTCGCTTCCCGGCCTGGGAACTTTCTGTACGGAGTTTGCATGTTTTCCCTGTGCATGCGTGGGTTCTCTCTGGGTACTCCGGCTTCCTCCCACAGTCCAAAAACATGACTGTGAGGTTGATTGGTCTGTCTAAATTGTCCTTAGGTGTGTGTGTTTGTTTGTCCAGTGTGTCTCTGTGTTGCCCTGCGATGGACTGGCTGTCTGTCCAAGGTGTACCCTGCCTGATTGCCCATTGACCGCTGGAGATAGGCACCAGCACCCCCCGCGACTCTGCATGGACAAGTGGGTTCAGACAATGGCTGGATGAATGGATGGATGCTGCCAACACACACACACACACACACACTTTCCTCAAGTCCAGAAAGCCTTTTGTTACCGTAGTTTGTCTTTCAAACTGAGGACACAGTTAAAAGTTTGGTTACATTTTTTGTTACAGAAACAGAAGACAGGAATCCCTACAGATCAGAGCAATGAAATAGTAACAGATCAATAGCTATTATCTTTAACATACACCTCTTTCTATCTCTCTGGTACAAGAAAATTGTTTTAGAAGGTTGCAGGTTCGAGCACCGCTCAGTTTGTCGCTGTCATTGTGTCCTTGGGCAAGACAATTAACCCGCTTTGCCTGCTGTTGGTGGTCAGAGAGACCGGTGGCACCTATGTACAGCTGACTCATCTCTGTCAGTGCGCCCCAGGGCAGCTGTGGCTACATCATAGCTCAACCACAACAGGGTGTGAATGTGTGTGTGAATGACTGATTGTGTTGTAAAGTACCTTGGGGGGTTCCAGGACTCTAGAAGGAGCTATATCAAATACAGGCCATTTACCATTTATATTAACTCTTCTAGGAAAAATTATATATTTTTTTTAATCAAAAATTATTGTTGTAACTGTTTCTAGGGCACTCATTGAGATACTTTGAAATAGAAATTTTCAACCGCAGGGTGTTATTGTGGTGTGTAACTAAAGTAGTCTTCAGTAACATTTGTCAAAAATGTTTAGTTTCATGCAGAAAATCACAGAAAATGAAGTAATGAAATATGAATGCCAGCTCTGTTCTGGTAAAAGAAATGATAAAATAAAAGATTTGAACAAGTTAAATAAACGTTCATTTAAAACCAAATAGAACATTATAAGACACAAATCTGGTACATTTTAGAACATCATATGAAGGTAGAACAATACAGAATATTTTACAATCATTGCAAGATTTTATATTTTCATAAAAACTGATTGATGTATAATTATTTTGAGGGTTATTGAACAATAGAAATAATTTCTAGTTCATATGTAGAATATTACAATATATTAGTTTGTTATATAATTGAAGATGTGCCTTAATAACATCTTCCTGCTCTTCAGCATTAGCACTGATGGTGAAATGTCCTGCTACAAATACTGTCCTACTATGTTTTTGATCGAAATCTTGGTAGAAATCTGCAAAATATGTTTAATATTCCAGCCATCCATTTTCTGTACCCGCTTATCCACTCAGGGTCGTGGTGGACTGGCGTCAATCTCCAGCATTCTTCAGGCATGCAAGTGGGGTACGCCCTGGACAGGTTGCCAGTCTGTCGCCGGTCAGCGCAGAAACTCACAGGAAAAACATGCACAAGCATACACATACTCACACACACCTAAGGACAATTTTGAGAGACCAATTAAATTGACAGTCATTTGTTTGGACTGTGGGAGGAAGCCGGAGTACCACCGTGGAGCCCATATTCAATTTTAATAGTATTATTATTATTATTATTATTATTATTATTATTATTATTATTATTATTAATGTTACCAACATTTAAAAGATGAATTATTTGGGGAATATGATCAAATATGGCAGCTTTGTTTTTCATGCTATGACTCCACCAACTTCATTGAGTTCAACATTTACAACACACATTTACTTATTTAGTACAACTGGTCAACCTTATGGTGTGAGAGCTTCATAAACCTAGCATTGTTAATTTTAGAGATCTGATTGTAAACACGAGAGGAGACTGAGCAGTTTTCTGGCTCTGCAGACATACCATTATTTGGAGCATCACAGACCCACTCTGATTGGTCAAACTGCGCCATGGAGCAAACTGACTAGCTTGATCTTGGATGATTGGTTGGGGGAAATCCTGTGAAAAGGCACACTGACGTAATTTATGATGCGAGTGGAAGTGCCTAAATATAGACGCTGGCCCTACAGGGTGTGTGTCCGTGATTTATTTTTTCTGTTGCAATTTGTGTCCTCAGTTGGCTCACTTGTACTTGCTCTTGCTTTTTTGACTGCTGATATTCAAATTAAAATGATGTGCTCATAATAATATGGTACTCATTCAAATGCAGAGCATTCACTCACCCTGAGAACACTGGTTCAGAGACATGATTTCAGCAGATCACAGGAGGTTCCAGATAAAAAGATCTACAATGCATGGATACAAAAGGCTTTGACTGACAACATAACACTAAAGAGACATTAACAAACAAAATGCTTCATGTGTGCCAAACAGAAATTGAAATTACAAGAAAGGGTCTCATCAAGAAGCTGTGCACATTTGATAAGGCATCACTTATTTAGACCAGAATGAGGGATCATTTCCTTTTAATCAAAGACTCAGCTGTCCTTGAAGGGAAATTCATGACAGATTTTTAAATTAAGATCATCAAATGTGGGGATGTGATGGTTAACCCTCTGGAGGCAGGTGTTGCAGATTTGCAACGTTAAAACCTACCTACCTGGTTACTCCACATACGTATTTCATGAGCATTTTTTAACTCAGAAGTACCCCTGGAGGACTTAGCTGTTCGACCTTTGCGCAATTTCACAGCACAAATTGAGGTTCCTGTGGGTGAGGTGGAGAAATCAAAGGAAGTGCTTTTGCAAAACAAATAAGAGAAAATCCACCGAGTGGCACAGCATTGCTGAAGCCGTCAATGTTGCGAATTCTTCAGAGATCTGTGGCGGATTTTAAAAAAATGGTCCAATTGGGATTTGATCCCAAGACTCCCAGGTGGAAGTCAGACACCCTAACCAGTCTGCCCAACAGAGATCTCCCTTGTCCAAGTAGCCAGGGTGCATCATCAATCAGGTCACAGCGACAGGACACACACACTGTCACAGACGCATGACATTCTGTCTCAATCTGTCCCCCTGCTGATATTCTGCATTCCGTATTCTGCACTTCAGGCTGTGTGTGTGTCCGCGCGTGCGCGTGTGTGTG